GTCGCGGATCTGTCCCTGACACAGCGACGCGGATCGATGAAATGCAAAGCGCCGACGGCGTCGCGACGCCCCGTACTCCATCACGAATGGCCGGCCGGCCGGCGTCGCGATTCGCAATTTGCGAACGTAAACGAAATTATCGGTCGAACAGCGAGCGCCGCCCTTCTGCCCTTTACAGCCACCGGTCGGGTGGGTGAGTAATTGCGTTAGCGCGAATTTTCGAAACGTATCGCTTCCATTATAATGATCGTAATGATAGTAACGGTCGCGCATATCTAACGCCGCAGTCAATAACGCGACGCCTTGTCGCGACGTAGTTGCCGAATGTGCAATTAATCGTCTGCGTCTTCAGAGACGCGTTGAAAATATAAAACTGTATGTTGTTTTATACATTTAGCACGTAACGCTATATCTGATTATTAATCCGACTCGACATCTTGTATTGCGCTTTCTAATACGGATAAGAATAAAATATGGGATTGAAGTATTGAAGCTATTGTAGCTTATTAAAACAAACAACTATTTGCTTTCACTTAATATATATCAGGATAAATCACGAGCTTTTACCGAGCTTTTTCTTCTCGTACGTATATATTTCCAAGAGTTCGAATATACACTTATCTTTTCACTTATACAAAATCACAAAGATGACTCATACAATTGGAGCAAGTTGTGTAGACAGGAAGTGAAAGGTAGTGTAAGAGTGTTAATGCTTTGGATGCGTTTAAATTGCAAAACAGGTTCGGGAATATGGGAATTAAAGTACAAACTAGTCGAGCAGTCTCTTGGGGTGCCACTGGAATTGGACCGATAAGATAAAAGGAAAACATACGTGATTACCTTTTATTTGTTATGTTAAAGATTTATACGGAACGCTTTTGGAAATACATGCAATCAGTCTAGAATCAACTAGAAGAAAACAACAATGTTCAATAACAATTTATAAATGTTGCTCTTATATTTTTAAATATAATATTTTCTATCTGTTTAATAAACATTTCAATATAATATTAGATACTACAGACGTTATTTATTTTGCGATACTATATATTTTTTCAGTTAAGATTAAATAAAAAAAGATCAAAATAAATTCTATCAATTTATGTCGCAATTATTTTACGGGAAAAATTGTTATGATTGTTACAACAATTTCTATGATTGGAAAAAAGATGTATATGGATTATCGATATTATATTGAGTACAGCTATTCTAACAATCGTATAAATGGCATACCTTACAAATGTAGTTCTTACGATAAGTAACATTTGATTAACTCTCATATACAGTTGTTTTAACGGAAGAATTATTGCTCTCTTTTTAAGGTAGTTTGTAGAACAAATAGTATGATTTATAAGATATATTTGTAGAGTATAGCATTGATAATTCAGTTCCATTACAATTACAGAATAAATCACCACCATTTTACGAAGAATTTTCACATAAAATAAAGTGAGTTACATTGTGATGCTTATTGTGCATATTATTGTTGACTATGGATAAAGTTTGCAAAACAATTTCAGCTTCAGGCGAAGCACAGGATTTAAGGATTCCATTTCTTATTATCAAATGTAACGTTCAAAATAAAATATTTTTTAAGTTACAGGAGCTAGAAATAATCATTACGTTTGTAACAATTATATAGCTATTACTCTTATTATGATTGGAGCAACTATATAGAATATTATGGTTTCTGTAACTCTTTTGTATGGATAGGCGAAAAATAACATTATTATTCTGTTGTATTAGGCAACCGTAATTTTTTCTTCGTGAAATATGTCTACTTCATATTACGAGCAGCTACCGTATAATGTAAAGAAAATTGCTTACATAATACATCTTTAATATTTAATCGCTCATAAAAAAAATACGAAGGAAATAAAATTTACACAATTTACTTTTAATACACAGGTTAACATAATTTAATTTTAATACACAGGTTACACAATTTGTAACCTTATTTGTAACCTTCTTATCTGTGATAACAAGTACGTATAACAATATATGACAAATATACAAATTGTCAAGATGATACTCCCAAGTAAGCGTAATGAAGCGAGGGAAGCAATCAGCATCATAGAAAAATAACATAATCAAGTCTGATAGTCTACATAGTAATTTTACAAAAATGTGATTCCATGTTATAAATTTAACAAAATGCGTTTTTTACACACTGATAAAAGAGGTGTTTAATTTTAAGACATTAAAGTGTTTTATTCTTTGTCTCCATTTTTGAAATGTTTAAAGATATCTTAATTATAAACGGATGTGTCATGATGTTTAGATTTAAAACATTAATACATTTAATTTTGAAACATTTATTATTATTAAACGTTTGTATTGAATAAAACGTTTCAAATTTAGATGTTTTCTTCATGTCACTTTTTACAGTGCAGATTTGCAAAGATTTATATTAATCGCTTGTATAATTTTTTAAAATAATACATAATATATTATGTAATTAACTTCCTCTCTCTCTCTCTCTCTCTCTCTCTCACTCTGTGCGTCTCTCGGAGAGTAAGAATTATCTTCTAGTAATATCTCCCATATATTCCATCTCCCGCACACTCTGCGGAAAATTGATACTTAACTCCTTGCGATTTGTCACTTTCGGGTTTGACGTTACCAGCTATCGCTTCCTCGTGCCATCGTAAATTCACGCGAAGCGAACGCGTGGGCTTTTCATTCGGGCGGAGCCGATATTTTCCACGGCGACACGCCATCCCGAACCTCGAAGAACGTACTCGAAGCGTGACCTCGTTTATGATTGCAGCACGCGCGCGATGCATGCCGATATTCACCAGGTGCAACCGCATGAAGCGTCATGGCGCGATCAAAACAAGTAGGTACGTCGGTAGGACTTATTCCTTCGCGTTTCCTCGCGAAATTCGATATCAGCCCGAGATATTCGATACGACTCAGACGCGACCTTATCGATGCAAATCGACAATGCGGGGCACGTAGGTGATTTTAGCGAGACGATCATAATACGTCGCTCAGAATTGTCATGAAAAATCGGGGAAAGTCGGGGAAAATTGAAAACGGCGGAGGAAGTATCGCGAAAAAATTACTGGCACGGAAAAGGGAAAAGGGTTTCTATTGCTGCCGCGACTGCTGCCGCATATCCAATATGAAAATAATTGAACTTTGCTATCATAGCCAATTATTTGGCATTACAGTGAAATAAATCTGGTTTATATTGAAAAAAAAAAAATCTTTCCGAGTAAATTTGTTCGCAAGATCTGCTACTAAAGCAAATTTAATTTGCCGGTAAAGCGAAATGGGAGTCTAGTAAATATTGCTGTTGCAACGAAAACACTTTGTTGTTATATAACTGCAGTGCGCGAGCCTTGAGTGATACCGCAATCTTTATGCGTCACGACACGAAGTGACAGTCTCAGCAATCTAGTAATAATTGCTTCGTTCGAACAACTAAACTGGAAACAATATATCACCGACACCCGATATAACAAAATTGATATGCTCTCCGCGGCGATAAACGAGCAGGGCTAACTGTTCGCAAGTATCGTCGTGCCTCCTTGATGTGTTAACGTATCAACCGAGGATCACCCGTAATTATCGGACATTATCGAGTGATATAATTAGTCACTTGAGTATTATGGAACAATATAATTATGCTAGTATCCTCTCTCACGACTTCCTGTTTGCGCAAAATAGTTGCCGTGGCTGACACTAACGCGTCGCATCTTGTCCCCAAAACTTGCAAACCCGACATCCATACTTTTCTTTATTATCGATATGTCTTTTTTATATAACGCGTATACATGGCGTATTGAATAATTTAGAGACAAAATAAAAAAATCAATTTGTTTATCAATGCGAAGTGTATTTGTTTTTTAAGTACATGTTGCTGCGCTAATAATCTTTTAATTAGAAACTATTGAAAATGTGAGGGTGCTCCAATAAAAATTGAAGTTATCAAAATGACATGAGAATTAAAAAGATTCGGGAGTATTTTGCACATATTGTATATATTGCATATGTAATCAGAAAAATATTCTCAAAATGAAATGTGTCATGTATTTTTATATAAGCTTATTAAGAATACTTTTATCTGTTTGACCTGGCAAAATGAAATGTTCCCATTACGAAGATTTCACTGCGGAAACGTCCACGTTTAATTGGACGAGATTACAAGTTACTATCAATCGAATAAAACGAGTCGGTTTATGTCTTTAATGCGTTTTCACTGAGTCAGCATCCGTTTTCGTTAGGATTTCTTCTTCAAAACGAGATGAAATAACGAGATGAAATAAATAGATGTTTCTGTAGAATTAAATTAATCTTGCAAAAATAGTCCCATCACTCAAAATTCAAAATAATTTAATTCATTTTAAATAAATACGAGATAAAAACAATATGAAAGCAACGTGAAACGTCTGAAGAAGAAAAATTAAATACAGCTGTTAATTGGCGGACATTCTTATATAATTTATTAATAATTTGTTGATTGTAAAAATCAACTACTACTCTTTCATCTTTTCTTCAGAAAAAAATAAGTCTTACAGAATGTCCTAGAAGTACGTGATCTATCGTATAAATAAATATTTATCGTATTATTGGTCGTTATTGATCGATAAGTTCGATATTACCAACAGGAAAGTTTAAATTTAATAAGAAAGGAAAATATACGCTTAATATATCAAAGAAAAATATATTCTCTGTTTGTACTCTAGTCACGTCGTAGGAATAATGCGTTCAATTATTTCTTTGCATCTTTTTAGCCGCTTTTATTCGTTAAATACATTTCCTTTTCGTAAACGAGCCAGGCGGTTTTTCCTCTTTTTTTTTCTTTTTCTTTTAAATCAGGCAGTTCCGTAAAGCGAATAAACTACTTGACGCATTCTGCCACTCAAAGATTTAAATTTGCGCGAGTAGGTACATGTTTATCGGGGCGGAAAACGTTTTAACCGTTCCGTTTCCGCTCTTCTCTCGTCTATACGCAGCTGCTTTCAAATATTTTCCCTCACTTTGTGTTGCAGGCGGTGTCGGAGAGGCTCGAATTGGCACCAGTTGGCGGAAGATCAGAGCCTCAGGTGAGAGTACCGTGAGAGACTTCGGCCTAGCTTTATTCCCATTTCGACGAAAACACCGCAGAATTATACACCTTGCGAGAACTCGTTCTTGCGATTTCAATCGAAACTCGTTAGCTTTCATACCTTTGTTCAACTTTTGTTACATTTTTTTTTTTATCAATGCAACTAAATTATTGGATATAAAATTTTATCGTTTTACAATATTTGTCGATACGATATTTAAATATAACGTAAAAAATGTGTTATTATTAATAAAAAATAAATCTCTGTGGACAGTATTTTACATTCTTTTTTTTTATCATTAATAAAATATGCATTAAAATAAATATATATTTTAAAAGCAAGTAAACGTGCGCATGCGTACAGAGAGGATGATCGTAAAGATAAGACAAGATAAGCCATTGGGAAGTTTATTGGCCGCCGTGTGTTCTACTTGAACGTCCACTTGAAAAACGAAGGCCGACTCGTGTTGTTAATTAAGACAATCAGCTTCCCGAAAAGCGAAACACTTTGATGAAGTTGTCGACTTAGCCAAATGTGTTTTCCGCTTGGTGGAAGTTAACGCGTTACTTTTAATGACCGTATCTTTCCTCAACGAAGGTCGCTACCTTGTGTGAACCTGGCGAGGTATACCTTGCTCAGCACATGGGAGAGCAGGGTCGATGGGTCTCCTCGACCGACAAGAAGAGCTGCATGACGGACAAGCTGGAGATCCTGGAGTATTGTAAGAAGGTAGGAAAAAAATCTATATAAGATCACGCAACCATTAAATTCTTTCACACGTATAATGTCGGAGATCGGCGGTAGACCTGTATATACTCGAGTTAAGAGTTTTATATATAGACATTAAAAATAGATCTCTGACATTTTTCTATTATCATCAAACTTTTTAGCTCTCCTCTCCGCGTCATTCTTTTATTCATTTTCTTCCCACGAAGAACACGAGTGAACATCTTGCTCTCAGAGCGAAAATCGTCTGACGTTTTTTAAAAAGAACATTAACGATCCGACGTTGCCTCGCGGTCTCTTGCGTTTACGTAGGTAAAAATCAAAATCATCCTGTCGACTTGGAAAATTGTACGGTGGGCTTCAACTACCGTTTCGCAAGAGATTTTTGCAGATTCTGTGAGAAGCTGGCAAGTTTTCATCCTCCATTGATGCGCTCATTTATCGTTATTACACGTATGAATACCATCCTCATCCTAGCTTGTCATGTTTTTTTTTAAAATATTGAATAGACGTTTATAGTCTTGTTGTTGAAAAGGATTGAAAGCAAGGGAGGATTATTGTTGGATGGTGTTTCGAACGATCGAGCTGCGTGCCGTATGGTTTGCTGTAGGGGCACGGCCATGGGTCCGATGTCCAAGCGTTTTCCACGGTATAAATGCTTCGAGGGAGCTTGGTCAAGAAATTGCCAATTTCCTTGCTTTAAACCACTTTATTCAAAACGAAAATACCTCACGAGCGGGCGAGCGTGCCTTACAAGAATGACCGAAAGG